AATCGCCCCTGCTGGGACCGCGACCCCCCCCCCCCCCCCCCCCCCCCATGCCTGTCATCTGGGAATCTCCTGTGATGTTTCCTGCTCTAATGTTAGTGACATATGCAGGTTTACAACAATCATTCTGAATGTACTAGGCCAAGCTAAGAGTTACAGCTAGTGGAAGACACTGGGCTTTGAGATGGAGTTCCACCTTTTCAGAAGCAACTGAAATACTGAACATTTTTTATTGGCCCCCAACGTTATTGCATTTAACTGAGGACAAGTGTTCATTGCAGGTCTAACCAAGTACCCTGTGACACTTCCAGAATATCCTTGAGAGCATGATTGTCTGGGTGGGCCTATATGTTATATTTAATTTTTGCTTGGCTGGCAGTGAGAATGCTAAAAGCTGCGTCATTGAGCTCAAACTTTCATTAGTTTTCCTGAAAATACAGCTTCCTTTTTTCCTTTTTATGACATCTCTTGTGCACCAGGAACAGCTTGTGGATTTGTTTGTGCTTAATTGACATGTAATCTGTTCTGTCCTGCCTGTGTTACTTGGCAGACATCCATTAAATTACTTTGTGGTCACATTTGGGTTTTGTTAACTTCAGAATGCAGCAAATAAAAAATAATAATAATTAAAAAAACCCAAACAAAAAACAACAGCAAAACCCCCATCACACAAACAAACAAAAAACCCTCAAACCCAACAAACAAACAAACAAAACCCCTTGGGAATTGCACTCAAAATCAAAACACCCTGACTGGAGTATATATGGAAATAAGCAAAGCAGGGCAAGTGTTATTCAACATGGAGACTGTATGAAAAATTAAAAGAATCTGTGTCATAAAGGAAGAGGAGTCTTGAGAAATCTTGAGAAATCCTCTTTATCTGCCCTACTTAAAGAAATTTTATTTTGTTTTGGCTACTAACTAGAGTAGAGAGCCCACAGTTTTGCATGGGCTCAGTATGACTTCTTAACATAAAAGAGCCAGAGAGATTTGGAAATGCCAGTGAAAGAGTGGGTAGGAAATGGAGTGGGGCTAAGCTATTAATCTGCCTCAGGTCAAGCCATGCGTATCCACAGGGGTAGGAGAACTTGAGCACTTGTTTGGAGATGAGCCTGGAAAGCACTTCAGAAAGGAAGATGGTTTGGAAAGCTTTTCTATTCCAGTCAAGGATCTTCGGTATATTAATTGACTCTGAAGCTTTCCCTTTCTTAACTGAGAAAGGGAATCTCTGTAATATTTTCTTCTGTGAATAGCATACATGGTGTAGTTTACTTTCACACATAAGCTTATAATTCTGCGCTAATATGTGATCCTGTTTGGGCTTGGAAGAGGGCGGTAAACATGAACAAGGATGTTAGAGAAAGCATGGTCCTTCAGGGTGTTGAAGAAGCTCTGGTTTTACATTCACAGAGGTTCCCCCCTGCCCCTTTGAAGATTGATTGAGGAAATATTTGTGGTATGATCTATTCTGCCTAATGGGTCATGACCTGGAGATGCTGGAGTTGAAGTGACGGTGCTTGTCTGGGACCTCAGCTGCATACAAGTGAAGAGCTTTGGCCTTGTGCTTTGCTAAAAAGGCTGTGTAGGTGGGCTGCTTTAGAGACATCGAACTACGTTCTCTGCTCTGTTTTCTGAATGTACCAGTTTGTTGCCTTCGTGTTCTCTGCACCCTTTTCCACTGAAAGATATAGGTATGCCCTTGGAAAGACTTCAGAAAGGCTAGCTAGGCCAAAAGCAACATCTTCTTCATCTCTGACAGAAAGACTGGGTTAAAAACCCTGAAGAAATTTATAGAAGGTTAAAAATAGCGATAGGTCTGTTTTTAAGGCTGCCTTAGGTAGCCATCTCTCTTCTTCATTTGAAAGAATTATTTTTTTCAATGTTCCCCCCCCCCCTCAAAGTACCAACCATTGAAGAACCAACTGAAATACAGAAACTTTCTCTCGAGAGCTTATGCTGAACACAAGAATTAATCAAACACACGTATTCTCCCTCTCTGCCCCTCCTTAGGTAAATGCATAGATATTTTTGCTGAGACATGGTTACCAGCTTGTTGGATGCATCAAAATATATAGCTAATTTTAAAAAATATTTCCATGCAGGATTTTCTGTGTTATGTATATGCATGAGCAAGTGAAAGGAAGAAGTTGAGAAGGTATCAAAAAATAGAAACTTGGCTTAATTAAAGAATGCATATAGACAAGATCTAAAGTAGAACTATGCCTGAGATCCATTCTCATCTTTGCCTGAAATTTACTGGATTAATAAAAGTAATGTGCATTATTACATTTGCATTTTTGCCTGCTGTGATGGAAAATAGAAATAATTACAAATAACTTCAGATGGCCTTCAGGAAAAATTTGTTAAATCCTTGGTGGAAATGTAAAACAGAAGCAAAAGCTTCTATTGTGATACTAATATTTTGTGTATCTGTGGATACCTGTCAATTTACATTTTATAGTTAAAATGTAACAACTTACAATTTCAGGTTTTATAGTTAAGGTGGATATCAAACAGACAAGATTCTGTGTATCCCTCCTACATCCTAGTGTGCTCATTATCCTCTTAGTCTTAAGCTGATCAAAACCAACTTCTTATGTGACAGCCTTCAAAAGCCTCTGCGTTTCCATTGCTTGTTAGGTTTACCTTTCTTCTAAAAAAGTATATGGAATCTCTTGTGTCATTCAAATGATTTTAATATCCTGGCAAATTCAAATAAAATGTAGCGGGGGGGGGAACTACTTAGTATCTACATGTACTATAAGTGATATTTCAATGAAGTAAGAAAGGTTTATAACAAAAAATAAGGCTTTAATGTAAGTGCTGGGAATTTTAGTACATTACTGAGCAGTTAATTATGGAGGAAGTAAACAGAAAACACTAGTATATTGGTAAGTACAGTGATCTTTTAAAAAATTTCAAATAGCATAGTTTCAATTTTTTAGCAATCTTTCAAATCTAAACTAGCCTATGCTCTGGTACCATGTAAGTGATACGTTGCATAATTTTAATCTTTACTTGAAAAACGATTTTGCTTCTCAATGAAATATGTGTATGGATAAGTTCTACTATATATACCTGATAATTAAGTACTCAACTGCTGATTTTGTGCATATTTGAGGTGTAAGTTTAGGTTGGCTGATTAGAAATCTCACAGGTAGCTCTGGAGTCTTAGACTGTGCTATTTTTCAAATTTCCCTCATGCAAACCTGCAAAATTGTGTGATGTCATGAAGAAGATGGTATCTCTGCAGTCATTTGCATAAAAATACAGTTTTGGACGCTGATCTCAAGTCACAGCAGAAGCCCCCTCTCTTAGTCTAGCATTGTATTTAATTATTTTAGTTTTTAAACTCTTGTGTGGATTAGGGGATCTTTGCTTGTGTTTCATTTGGCTCTAGAAGAAGCTGTATGTGGATTTTAAAATCTTAAAAATAATCAAACATTTTTTTTGCCTTAGTTTAGTCCTAGCTTGTGCAAGGCTATTTTACTTGCCCATCAGTTTGTGAATTCATTGCCCCTGGAGCATTCCTTTCTTTTTTTCCATTTCTTTAAATCTGTATGTTACATGGAAACCCACATTTCAGATAATTAGATAAGAAGTGATGTGAGTGTGACCAGATAAATGACTGCAGCTGCTACATGCAATGGACTTCTCTAGAAGGCATGTGCGAGGGTGTATCAGCTTCATGTGCAGTGTAATGTCTCACAGAAACCCTATTTCTTTGCATTATATTGAGCAGCTATTAGACTTCATTGTGCTCGAAGACTAAAATCTTACTACAGTAAGAAAATTAAACATGAGTTACAATTTGCTATTTAATCATACAACCTTCTGTAATTTTTTTCATATTGTAGATATTTATATAATACATTGGTAGCCACAATACTGCCATGAAAAATATTGGGCCTGATTTATATAAAACCCTCTTTGCCAGAGCAGAGTAACCACAGGTTGCCCACCTATTTCTGTAGAAGGGCCATGGTCAGATTAATAGTTTTGTGTCTTCTAGTAAAGTTGCTTCATTTGGTCAGCTTTAGAGCTCTGTAAAGCAGAACCCAGTTCTCGGGATCATTTCCTGACAAAGCATCAGTTATTCATAGTGTTTCACTTAATAGCATGGTTTCAGGTTATCTTTTTTGTCTCCCCAGCACCTGGATGATGACACAGTTTCAGGATCAAATTGGATAACAGAAAACAATGTTCAGCATTCTCTGTCACAGACAACCAAAACTACCAGGAAGCCTTACTGTGGTTATAAGCAGCAGACTTTGTCCAAAAGAGAGCAAGCAGAACAGGAATCGTTGCTTGCTGCAATACAGTGGCCAAAACCCCCTGATGGCAAAATTGCCTTTGCACAAAGCACTGATCCCGCACGTAGTGACTTTGAGATTGTGAAACCCAGTGGGTTCTTCAAGGTGGGTGATCAGTTAGAGGTACTTGTCCGTATGAATGATTTCCAAGGAAAACCCAAGCAGTATGGCGGAGACTATCTACAAGCACGCATTCACTCTCCTCTGCTGAAAGCTGGAGCAACGGGAAGGATTGTAGATTGCCATAATGGCCTTTACAAAGTCTTCTTTACCTTGCTTTGGCCAGGAGAGGTCAAAGTTTCTGTGTCACTTGTCCATCCGAGTGAAGCAATCCAAGTCCTCCTGCGTTTACGAGAAGAAAGGCCAGACAGGGTCTATTTCAAAAGCTCATTCAAGTCTGGGAGGTATTCAGAAACTACTGAGTGCAATGTTTGCTTGCCTGGAGATCTGCCGGTCTGTAACTTCACAGATCTCTACACGGGTGAGCCATGGTTCTGTTATAAGCCTCGAAAACTGTCCTGTGCCAGCCGAATCAGCCATGCCAAGGGAGGATATCAAAAAGGTCTTCTGACACAAGAGGAAAGCCTCTTTTTCCAAAGGTATGCATGTTGTTGGATGTATATATACTCAGTCAAGTAATTTTTTTTTTTTTTTTTTTTTAAAAGGCAAGCTTTAGGTTATTGGTGAAACCTGACATTGCCTTAGACGAGGTGTGTATCTGCAGGAGCGGGCGTTTGATGTGAGTTGTTGAGTATTTTCTTCCCCTCCATTCAGCTGTGCAAGAACACAGTAATCTTACCCTAAAGAAACTTGGAGTGTAGTTCTGTCTCTGTGCTTTGAATTCAACCCTGGTGCACCTGCTAAATTTCACAAGATCATGCTGTCTAAATCTGGTGGTGGTTTGGGGGACTGTTTCCTTACTTTTTGTTTCCACACTTACGCTTGCAATACCAATAACAACGCTTTGAGATGTATTTTTGGCGAAGTCTGAACTACCTGAAAAAGGTCCAGGTTTTGGACTTATTTTTACACAAAATACCAATTGCTTTTATCCTCAGCAAAGGTTGTCTTACATGTACTGCAGTGTGTTCTTTGTTGCTCAGTACGACTTTCAAATCTTAGGAATAAGTTTAAGGTAGTCATGAAGAAAACACCTGGTAGAACAAACTGCTGAGCAATAGCTGTGCAAGTGGAAATGATCTGTGCATGTTATATAAAGTGTCAAACTAAATGAGTTTTACAGTCATCTTTTTCTTCTGCATTCAGCATTTAAAAAAAAATACATCTCTTAGTGCATGGGTAGATGTAATAGAACTGCTTCTGTACATACCCTCAGCTGAAATTAGACAGTTAGCTACTGTGTAGTGTCAGAACTGTAGTTGAAGGCTCCTGCCTTGCTCTCCAAAAAAGGTGCTGAAGGAAAGCGTTTCAGCAGTATGTCTACTTGAGGCTTAAATTGGGAAACACTTCAGAGTAGCAGCTCCAAATAGCTTAATTAGGAAAGTGTGTGTACATGTTTGTAATTGAAGACCAGAAATCAAAAGTAAATATCAGTGGAATTGTTTTTTGGCTATTCCTTATCAAGTTTTTAAGTGGGTCTTTTGACTTTCGGTGCTTCAGGCAGTTCGCCTGTAAAATATGGCTGATGTGATTGGTGATGTTTCCAAATAGGAGTGGGAGGTTTTTTTTTGCTTGTTTTGTTTGTTTTGTTCAGCTCTGAGATCCTTGGCTGAAATGGCTTACAGACTTTCCAAATAATTTATTTCTTAAATGGAGAAAAGCATTAGACATGGATTCTTTTCAAAAGAGCAACAAAAGTCAGAACAAGAGCTTAGTATTAAATCTCTGCATTTGTCACAGCTGTACAGGAGTGATAAGTGTGCAACACAAAATGATCAGAATTCACTGATGTTCACAAACAAGTACTTCTGATGTCTCTTGGTGTTTAGGGGGATGAGCTTTGTTTCTGTATTCAGGAAATTGCTGTCTTACTGGAAGACCGTATTGCTGGACATATCTGAAGTTGGTTGGACGTTGGCTGGTACTACTGTCTCCCCCAGAGGCAGGACGCACCACCGCTAGCCTAGTCTAGAGCTAGAACTGCAGGTGGTGATGGTGGTGCTGGACTGCCGCAGGCTTCGCTACGTACTGCAGAGCAGGCTGTGGGATTACAGGGGCAGAAAGCAGTAACTACCTCAAGAGAGGTATTTGCTGTGGGAAGCACCTATAGAGAGCTGGCAGAGCTGGGAGCTGCTGCTGCAGCATATCCTTTCAGTGGTTTATCTCCTGGCAGTGGTACACGTACCGCAAGTTGGCAACTTTCCATCTTTGCGGTAAATCCCCCAAAGCTTCTTGCAGACCTCTGACAGCTTTATAGCTCTATTTAGGTTTGTGCCAGTAAAAATGTGCACAAGATTTGTGTCCTAGCGCTATGAAATTTTGGATTCTTATTCAGAATAGTGGTAGTGGTCTCAGGAAAATTAATACAGAATGAATTCAGCTATAGCAAGTAGAGCACACTTAAAGTAAAAAATTCTTAGTGTGAGTCCTATGTACTTATTTGAAGTAGATGAAGAAAAAATGAGTTTAATACTACCTGCAAATTTTACAAATATTATTATTATTATTTTTTGTTCAAGTGATGTGAATATCAAAAGGCCGATACTCTCCAGTGGACCTGATTCAGTAATTGTAAAGCCCAAGGCATTTACAGGTAAAGTGAACTTTATAAGATTCTTGTTTGTAATTCATAATTAAACTTATAAAAAGAACAACAGGGATGAGGTAATAATTGATTTGTTTGTTTTCATAGTATGGAATAGAAATTAACTTTTAAATTTGTATTGAGAAGATGAAGGCTTTTGGTTGTTAACTGCAATATAAGTTCAGTACTAATACAAAATTGTTTAAATGGGATACATACGTACATAAATGGGATTTGGGGCAAAAAATAATTTATATAGAACAAAGTCTTGTTTCTTGCCAAAAGTGTCCTTTTTTTCTAGCATTTACTCAGAGATGTAAAATGTCTGTCAGTAACTGCTCACCAAACTCTCAAGTTAATCTAGAAAAACCACCTGTGTGGTGTTTCTTAATTTCTTTCTTTGTTAAGAAGTTTGTCTAACAGATTTTGACAATTTACATTTAAGTATTACTATCATTTGTGTTACCACAGGATGTCAGAACCTACTTGTGGACCAGAACCTAATTTTTCTGTACCCTGTGTAAAAACAGAATGATGAGAGAGTCCGTACTAAGTTAAACTTAGAGGTGTATCTCATTCATATCCATGCGCGTGCTTTTTATGCCTCTAAAAAAACTGCGTAAAATGTGATGCAGAGAATTACTTCTTAATTGAAAGCTTTTCAGTTGTTGTTGGTTTTTTTTTGTTGTTGGTTGGTTTTTTTTAAATAAGGTTGTAGGAGGCTTTAAAGGTAGAGTTCCTGACCTGAGCAATGAAGTCTTAATAGAAAACAGCCCACAGCATTTCTTGCTTTTAGTTTTGCTGTTCACTAAAAAAATAGAGTGCTGCTATTAGGCCAGCAGCACTTTCCCCCCTTTCTTTCTCCAGATCCTTTAGATGACATGTTTTTTTGTTGCTATTTTTATCTTATATATTTCCTCGCAGAAACTGCCGCAAATTTGACATTTGATTATGTCACCCTGCTTTCAGAAGTTACAAAGGATCAAAGCCTGCTTGCGTTTCTTGGGGATTAATGCTGGGTTAGAAAGGGTTGATAGGAGTAGCACAGTATTCCTCAGGGAAATTCATTCTAAGAACAACAGTTTCTGAATAAAGAACTTAATACATTGGTATAATGATTGTGGGTGTATGGATTTGTTAGGATTGATGGCACACTTAAATTAATTCTTCTGTTGTTGGTGGTTTTGCACATACCTTTCTGTTTGGGGGTAAATGTAGATCAAGTTGATTTTTTTAAACTTTATTTTTCTGAAATACAGCCTTTTATTTCTATTCTTGGTTTGTAGCTATTCAGGTTGGAGCTTTTACTCTCTTCTATAACATCCAAAAGTAATGGCTTTCTGAATTCTGGTGCAAGACTAGTATGATACTATACACAGATTTGAAATGCTGGCGTTAGGTTTAGTGTGAGGCACCAAGAAGTTGTTCTGGTACCATTTTTATGTGTATAGGTGTAGTCTAAGAATCAATTAAAAGGTAAAAAATTGAAATGTTTTTACATCAAAACTTAAGAAACAAACGAACTGAAGTTGTGAATTCACATTATGAATTAGTCTTTAACTACATGACCATATGAAGGGTTTTTTCCTTTTCTTTGTAGGATTCCTGTTTCATACATACTGGATGAGTCAACATTACTAGTTGGGGTTTTTTCTCTTCCTTCATTGTCCCTGTTGCCTAATGTAAAGAATCATCCGAAGATAAAACTTTCTAATGGCTTTTTCTGTGGTACTCGTGATTATAGTCTTTGTGTTACACAAACATACTAGTAAGTGTCCCTGTGAGGTCTAAGGAGGTTGGCATCTACTAATGCAAGACACAGAGAATATTGTATAGAAATGGTGAGACCAAAAATGCCTGTTAGGAATGGGTGTTTAAAGATGCTTATGGTCTGATTTTTTTTTTTTGAGTGTTTAGGGTTTGGCTACACCTGTGTTACAATGAAGCATCTACCAGAGGATGCTTCTGGGCCCTGGAATTCCACTGCCTGTACTTTTACACAGTTAGAAGGGTCCCTGGCACGATTTTGGCCATGGCAATGTGTGCTTTCCCAAACAGCTGCAAGTTAGGGCAGGCCAGGGACTGTTCTTAACAGGTAGTCTCTATGCCAAGGTGGGTGAAAGTGTTCAAACAGCTGGACGTGGCTGCTCCACGCAGCTGGTGTTTGTGCCAGGGAACAGCTCCGAGCTTGTTCGGTTTGGGTATGTGTATACACGTGCAGGAAAGGAGGAACCCGTAGTGACCTCACGGGAGTTTGATGTACTAGTATCATACTGGATACGAAGAGAAATACGGCAATGTTTGACTGATGTAGGCGTGAGATGGCAGCTGTTCTTCCTGTCATCGCCGGCCCTTGCTTGCAAGGTATCGACTGACTTCTGCAAGTTGAATAGGCGTCCTGCAGAACAGAGCTGCCCTGGTGTGGTCCAGTCACTCCTCAGGGGGCCGCCTGTCCCCGGCAGTAAAAGGGGAAGGGGCTGGATAGCAGAGGGAGAGTACGAAATCCGTGGAGTTGGAGACCCTCATAGTACATTCGAAGGGCACGCGCGAATTCCTTGGTGATAGCTTTAGTCCTGGCCCTTGCTGGTTTTGGAGTCCTTATGATTCAGAGTGCACCCTTCCAGCACGTGTGGTTGGAGGAGGAGCGGGTGTGTTAGCCCACAGAGGGATATTTTACCGCATGTTATTTAAATTTTCGGAGCGGTACCAGGTCGTCACCTCGGGGCCGGTGCCCTGTGCGGCCGCCGCCGCCCCTGCTCCGCCCGGCTGCCGCTGGAGGGCAGCAGCGC